TTGCTACACTGTCCTTTTGTAAATACAAAATAAACATGTTTTAATTTCATACAAAGTAGATTTGTCATGTTTAAAATTCTACACATCATAGATGGTCACAGTATGAATACATGTCATTTGGTGTCTGGCAGGTTTTGTAAGAAAGGACCGATAATCGGGAACGCAACTTTCAATACACTTAATTCATTCTTTTATTCAAGTTAGAAATATTCAGTAAGAATGCCATATATTTCAATTAATTTGTGATTAAAATATTTTACTCAAGATGAGCATAGTATATCTTTAACCAAATCAATTAAATATATTTTCTAGTCATACTAAGACTTTCCCCATATTCAAATGTCTGTTATAATAATCATTCTGTATTCATGACTATTTACAAATATGTATAAGTCAATAAAATATTCAAATATCAGATAAATGAATTACAATAAAAATTTTACCACAAACATTTGTTAACAAAAGAGCACATACCAATGCTTAAGTTAAATCTGTTTAGGTTCTGTTCTGTTTATATTCAAACAATAGATCAGAGTAGTGATCTCCTGTTATTGAAACGGGTATCCCACGCAAATGCGTACACCGGTCACTTAAATCTGTTTGTATGATATGTTAGAAATGTTGGCTGTATTATGCAATATATTGCTAATTATATAATTTGGTATAATACGTAACGCCGTCTCATATTTGATATTAATATTTTATTCCTTTTAAATTATTGAAATTAGTTAATAATTTGAGATATTCTTAGACATTTAATATCAGATTTATAAAGCAAATGTTGTTAGTATTTGTTTATAAGTCTATCTGTTTATATAGGAGTATTGAAGAAATAAGGATGTATAAATAAAATCACGTAACCAATTAATTGACATGTAATGTAAGCGTTCTCATGCACATAAATGTTTAAGTGAATCGTTGTTATAGAAACATTATCATCTTTACCCAATCTGCATTGCAAACCGTCTTTTTTACATGATTTTCTAAGTTTACCTAGCAATAAAACATTGAGTTTAACTTTCATGTGAATTTGTTTCATTTTACCAACTACTTACTGTTTATCTCAAAAGAAGAAAAGCTTTAAAAAAGATATTCACCTTAGTTTATATAATCTTAGTGGACTCAATTGGCCCAATAAGTAAAACAATTAAGTTCTTTCGTGATTGGAACAGAAAATGAAATAATGATTCACGTCAATTAACTATTTTTGATTGAAACGAAGGCTTAAAGGTTAACAATCAGTTTCTTTAGGAAATCATTTCATTTTTATCTGAAATTGTTTTCATGTTCTTTGAATTCAATATAATTATCTGAAATCTCTAACTGAAAAGTATCTCGAAATTCCGTTACTTACCTATAGTGCAACAGGAAACAGGTCCAGCATTTATCACACTTTTCACGACTTGAAGCTGTAAAATAGTAGTTAATCATGAATGATGGATATCTTTGCACAAAAGATGTCAATAGTGACTTCATTTATTAGAAAAGCTTTAAATCGGAAACTGCAATAGTAAATATGCATCGGCACCTGTTGTTTTGTTATATATATGAGAGTTAGCACCTTATCTTCTTGTGATTTTTTTTTGATAATCTGTTTTAACATTTATGGCATAACATGTTTATAAATAATTGAAAAAGGTAGCATCTTTATCTGATGTTTTCAAACATGGGAAACACTACATAAATGAATATGTTTGTTTTTTATTTTGTTTGTCACACCATTTAAATACGAAATTTTAAATAAAATAATTTAAGGTTCAAACATTTGCAAAATAACTTTTCGATGTTTCAAAATGCAGATAAAAAGGCAGACCCACCATGGAAATTGAGCTAATAAACCATTAAATATCTTATCAAATTATGTTATTCGGTGAATTTAATAGGCATTCCGTCATTAATTATGTAGTGGCACATTTAAACTACATTACACAAAATGTTAAACTACTTAATATATGATTTGTAAATTGTTTGGTACCAATGTTTTAATTGCATGTTATAATTGCATGGAATGCTAAAATTATCCTACGGGGTATGTAAACACTGTTTTATGTTCAAAGTAAAGTTGAAGCGAGGCAAAGTAGACTTGTAAGGTTTACTTTTTGTGAAAGAATGAAATGTTCTTGCAATAAAAAAGTAAATAAATTTATACCATTTTATTGTTTAAAAACATCACAGCAAAGATTACCAAGGAATGACATTCAATGAACGCAACTTTCAACTAAACCTAGCAACATAGGATAACTGGCAAAGAACTTTTTAACTTCTATTTTTAATATATAAGAATCTCATTAATATATATTGAAAAACAATTAAATCATTTCACAAAGTTATTATTTTATATATTTGCTTATATTTTAACTTTAAATTATAATTCAATTATAAAATGTATTGCTTTACTATATTACTTTTTTTCATAATGTTATGTATTAAGAAGACATTGTACTGGACTAAACGGTTGACCAAAATATTATTTGTGTGAATCAAAACATACTTTGAAAGACCAACAATTATGAATTCAAAATTGTTGGTTGGCAGCTTCATATTCAAGAATGTAGTTTTTTATTTTAGTCGATTTTACATCAGAAAAAAATAATTACGAAAAAAGTAGTTTAAAAATAATATGTCCATGAAAAGGCCTATGAATTTACCATGTATATTGTAAGACGCCAACAAAGATGATGTCCATTTTAAGGTATCTGTGTTACTCAGTTAAAAATACTTTAATGTTGAGCTTGGCACCCATATGATTTCAGGTTTAAAATGACAAATTTATAATCAAAATTAAAGTACCAACCAACATAAGTACACAATTTCCAATAAGAATGATTTTTTTTTCAAGCACTGGCAATTTGTTATCACGTATATTTTATCACATATACCGCGGCGCAAGAGTGTAATAAAACCATTTAATAAAAAATATATTACACTAGTGAAATAACACTTTGACATGACGTCATTTGCGATATATACAAATATAGCATTTAAGCGGTTACACTATGGCGACATCAATAAAAATGACTCTTTTTTAACAGTTTTCTGTACCTTATATCGATATGAGATAAGAAGAATATAGTATTCGTGTAGATTCAAAACTAAATGTATTGAAATGAAACAAGATTATTATCAATTTGTTGAATAAATTTAGTATTAAACATGTACTCATTCAATATCCTTTATTTCTTGTTTTCATGGTCTTTCTGGGGTTTTTCATAAAATCTTTGTACATGAGATAACTATCATAATAAAGAAAAAGTAATGAGAATTGTGATCTAATTGTTATTTATTATTGATACCTTTTCAATTATTTGTTTTCTTTGAATGATGTATTATAGAACATATCGCAGTCAGTGTAAATGCTCAGTTGGCTGAAAAAAACAACATATTAGATACATAGGATTGTACATATTTAATGCAGAAACAAACATCTGGGGTTATGAAATTCTCAAAAGCGGAACAACCTGAAATTTATCAATTTACATAATTTAAAATCCTGTTCTGGAAAATGTAATTTAAATTGGAATAAACCTTTACCTGGTGAAATACTCGATGAAGGGTTTTTATAAATTAATTACGATATATGTATTACAATGTTGAAAAGTCATTTCAAGGTAATTGATCAATATTTTGAAACGTCAATGCCGAACTTGGCACTCATATGTTCCCAGATATAATATGACATCACAATTTATCATAACTGATCTTAACAATGAATCAATTTGAATTTGAGATATCAGTATAAATCAGCGCCATTATTTTCACAACGCCAGATTGAAACAGGTGCGCTTGTGTAAACAATTTCTAGGTTTTCAAGTTAAAAGGCAGCTTTGACTTTGTAATCGAATGTGTTTTAGCGATTGCAACACATTATATGAAATAATTTTTTATTGTGATGTTCTTTTTCGTATGAAAATTGCCAGTATCAAGATATCAATTGTTAATTGTATTTTATGCCCGAAAACATTTTCCATGTAAAAAACATTTTGATCTGTTTAATATTGTTAATTTCATACCATGTTAATACAGATACAAAATGTCACCATATGTTAGCATTTAATTACGTTGTTTTGTTTGGTTTTACGGCGCACTAACACAGTTAAGTTAATATATGGCGCCGAAACAGTAAAGATGAATTTGGCTGACCTCGGGTGTTATAAACTTAAATCAATACCAGGGCTCAAAACCATCTCAACTGCTGGAGCTGATTACAGTAATATAAATCCATTTAGTCGCCTCTTATGATCACACAGGGTAATCTAATGCCTCAATCTGTAAAGGCAACCTCTCTGCCACAAGGGACATTTAATGAGTTATAAGTAGACATTAGGGTCGTAGGCAAAGAGTTGATCCTGTATGGCAGTTTTTTTCAGTTTGTAGGTGCACCCGACTTTTTCAACACAAGTGAAATGTGTTCAGCATCGTCAAGATGACGATGTTGAAGGTTATATGCTATAAAGTGATACTGGTGGAGGCATTGTCAGTTGTGAGTTAATATGTTTATCAGTGGACTATGCACATTATTGTAAAATATATAAAGTTACACTTCGAAAGTTATGGATATAGCCTGCTTTGAAGATTAAAGTGTTAGTTTAAAGAAAATGATGACATAATGATTTCGACATCAAATATATCTTCTTAACATAATTTATGTTTGATTTTTTCAATATAATTATCATTGGGAATATATTCTTATAGTCATATTCTTATCATAGGGATGTTTATTGCATAGTGATTTCAATGTTCAATCTCGTTTAAATACTTTTATACGGGTATTCATTTGACTGAAATCGGCCACCTCTGAGAATATGCATTCAACAGATCATATAATAAACATAAGTATGTAAATAATATATTGTACCTTAATCTTGTATACCACCTTTTCACAAGAACTTTCATAAAGTCTCTATAGCAATGCTTTTGTTTACAACGTACCTGTTCTCCATTTCTGATTCGACCGTGCAGTATTGTAACAAATGCATCGGCAGTTTAATGTTTTTACAAGCGTCTAATACTTTACCGGATGTGTTTTATGTAACAGATATTAGCTGAGCTTATGCAAAGTTCGTAATAATATAATAATGTTATTCAAAATATGTAATTCAAAAACGTATTTGTGATAAAAAAACACTTAAAAATGTGGCTTGTTATACATGTTATATGAATGAAGGGTTGAACCAAATAGATTTATAACGAATACAGCAATCGATTAAACTTAAATCAGGCGCAACAAATCTTTTTTATGAAGTTTGATGTTCGATGATTTTTGTGATAAAAGAAACGTTTCGTCAATATGGATACGATGAAATATTATTTTATAGCAACAAAATTAAATTTTGAGTGTTGTGTTTTCCTCTCTGTGCTATAAAATATATTGGAATAAAACTAGTTAAAATGTTGGGATATTCATGTTGGTTGTTCTCATATTTTCTGATTGTGACATTGAAAGCTGGTAAGACAAATAGTTCTTAATATGTTTTATTATGTGATTAACTTACTGCCTATGAACAAAATTGACAGAAATTTAGGATATTGTAGTATGTAAAAACATTGTCGATATTTTTGTCTTGAAGTTAGTTATATTGCGGCAATGTTGCTTTCTGTGCTGTCCATGTTTAACACAATATGAAACGAAAAGTAGGAAGTAAGATATGCCCAATATTAATAAACAGTAAGCTTTCATATTTTTGTACGCCAACATTGTATTTAAATATACACAAAATCCATTGATAAAATCAACACTGACCTTGAATTAAAGATAACTAGCATGAACGGGATCAGCCAAAAGTGTTAAAAGATTCATTTTGATTGATATAAATCTTACTTCATCAATACAATGTCATGAAATGCATTATTTATATATATGTCTGACATAAATTTTGCCTTTTGAAAGACAATAAGTTATTGACATATATTTTGCATCAATCGTAAAAGTGTAAACAGTTTAATCACTGTGTGTTCATAGTAATTACAGTTTATACTATCAATCCAAACTACCACCGTTGACATATAATGTTTGTATGATGTTCCATACCGCTTAGCATTGGAATAGTAACCCGTGGCTAAATGGTCCGATTCTCGCGGGATAGGTCGGAGCGTAGAGGCTCCATGCCAATTTACCTCTGATATTAAGTTTGTGTTCATTTATCTCTTACTGCTAATTCAGAAATCATATGTGTATTAAGACGCTTGTAGTGATATTGAAAGTTACTGATTCGCTATCCGGGAAAGCCGGTTAAGTAGATCGATCACAAAATATGACTTAAATTGTGTTAAAATCTGCGAAAAGAATACAGAAATACAATTTATTATAAATACAATAATTAGAATAAAAGTAATAGGTAATATAAGTTTCCATTAAATAAGATTGTTTTGTATGTACGTATTCTTTTTTCTTTGTTTTGTTTTTGGAGTCAGAATAGAAGTTATTGCATTCGTAGTAAGTCAGTTCAAAATATATGTTCGTAAGTAAAGGAAATATTTGTATGTTCGTAGATGATGACAATTTGAAACATGAATTTATGTTCTTATGTACATTGATTCTAATTCAAGTACAGAATGTATAAACATGTATCAAATGTAATGTCTTTTAGTTATTTGTGAATACGAAAACCGCTAATTGTGAGTTTATCACACAAAGATTGTTCTCTAGGGGACACCTGATTTATGAATATAACATATTCGTGCTTGTACGTAAACTCGTCTGTGCAAAAGCATTGTTTGTAATTGTTGTACATATTGGACAGACAAGTATTAGCTTTCCTAACATACTTATTACTTCACAAAAATGTATCTAAATCCGATGTCGTATTGGAACCAAAATATCATGCAAAAACGTACACTGGCATGTGTGTATCTCAGTATGATATGTTGAATATGTTGGCATCGCATTTGCGACTGTAAAAACCCTACTTCAGTTCATTACCTAACGACGCCTCATATTGATCGTTAATCATTTGTTCCGTTTTTAATCTTTATTTTTTAAAGATATGTTTACATAGTTTGACAGTAAATTATGTAAGTAATATCTAAAATTATGTGTGGTGTGTTTGTAGGAAAACATCACAAGACCAATTTAGTGGCATGTAAAGTAAGTGTTCATGTGTAAAAATAAAGTTACATGTATGCAAATAGAATACAGAAAATTGGAATCCCTAAAAAACGCCCAAAACGACAAAATTAAAAATGTTGCAGGCTCGGTTTGATTTAGCCTGTCAATGGACGGTACTGGAAAGTGCAAGTTACCGTCCACCCCCATAGCACCGGCTTTAAGCAGAATTCCACATTAAAACATGAAAATGATGAAATTTTGTATTTGGAAACATCCACAGATATTATGTTTATATATAAACAAAAAATTTTTTCTATTCGATAAGCATTCAAATTTTGACAATTGCCGGGTAACTTGCATGTTCTCAAAGTTTATTCTGAAAGTAAATTTCAATGTGATTTTATGATGATATGACATTACCTATATTCACGTTTCTTACTGTTATCACTGTCTTCGTAATAAATATTCTTTGCCTAAATTGCTCATACATGTTAAAAATTATGACCTTTTTTAAAAAAAAAGAATGGAACCACTCAATGGCAAATCAATTACAACGTACCTACTATACACCGTTAGTGAACTTAAATTTTCCATCAAATGATTTATCAAAAAGTTGTGTTCAACAAGCAAATTGTATTGCTCAAGAAAGTCAAAACCTTGACAACAGAATTATTTTAACACAGTTTTAAAAGAATGCATTATAATATCTTACGAATCCGATTGTTTTTAATTTACAGTGAAAGAGACTTTGTGATATACAAAAGAAAATTGGAATTGTTCTCCAAATCCACTCACTGGGCCAATAAGAATTCAAAAGTCTTTAATTACAAATGATTTTACATCATCCAAAGACCAGAACTACAAATATATTTAATTGTTTCATAAAACGTTATGCCTTGTTAAAATCCTTAGGAATAGTTGTGTCCCTTACATCATATCAGTATTATAACGTTGTTGAGGTATTTACAAGGTAACTGTCATTTAAATTAACAAAAATGCCTTTCTTGGCACTTACATATAATCAGATGAAACATGACACGTTTATCAGAATTGATCTTAACAGTGAACGAAATTGAATAATATAAATCAAATCTGTACCAATAAAATATTTAAATTATGTCGTTTATTTATTTTGTTGCAACGCCAGATTGCACCCCGATGTCTACAAATGTGCAAAGATTTAAAATAACCTCGATGTATCTATACCATTTTGCGACAGTGCGATTGTATCGCACTTCATCTGTAGAATAAATCATGAAACTGTCAATTTTCATGGACAAAAATTAAATGTGCATAGTGGTATTTGAAAATCATTATTTGAAATAAATTGATTGCGAGAAAACAAAATCCCTCAACGATTAACTTTCGGTAAACATATTATTGAATTATATGTATATATATATATATATATATATATATATATATATATATATATATATATTATAATTAAATAATAATATCATAATTTTATATTGTATATATGCATATATGTATATAAACAGAGATAAGAAAACTTAATCTGTCTATACAATTTGGAAGCGTTCAAAAGTTATATCATGTAAACTTAAAAAAGCAATACTTTCAATATGTTACCTAAAATCAAACCAAACAAAAACTTACTAAAACCATACATGAGATTGATAAATATAATAGTATATGTAGGTTTACTAAATAACTTGATGATACTATTTGTTTACATACTTTAAAGTTAATGATGAATAAATGAATAATGAAACGATTTACCGCCATACATTTTTTTTGGATAAGCTAAAGTTTGTTTGCACGATTGAGATAAATCGAAAACTTAATTAACAAGAACGAAAACTTGGAAAATAGATCTAAAAATTTTGTATACGATCTTGATATTAAAGACATTCTTTTTGTATTCTTGATGACTTAAACCGATTGCATTTTTAAGTCGTATTATCAGCATATGTAACAGGCGCGCTTTTATATACATGCTCTGTGTTTTCTACCTGAAATGCATTCATGGCTGCAACATTTTCATTTTTGTCGTTTTGGGCGTTCTTTAGGGATTCCGTTTTTCTTTTCTTATTTCAATTTGCACCGTATGTTCAAGCCCGGTTGCATAAGTTATATAAAATGCGAATATATGTTTGGGATATGCTTTAAGTATTAATACTAAGTTTTCATCGTAAACATCAGAAAATTAATAGTTAATAACATGTATCTACATGTATATATGACACTCACTGCAATTGTGTCTGTCTATAATACATTATGTATCTATATATAACACTCACTGCAATTGTGTCTGTCTATAATACATTATGATCGAACTCTTTAATATTGTATATTTCATAGCATGTCATTCGGAGACTGACTGTCACCATATGTTAGCATTGTATGAGTCATAGGGTACAAATATACACTGTATGGTGGTTGTACAAGTATTTGCAGTTTTCAGCCAGTTAGACCAGACTTTCCAAAACAAATGTTAATTACGTCAGCGTCGAAAATAATGCAACGGTGCAATTAAAATATCAACTAGTATATGTTATAAAGTAATCTTTACAGGTAGCTAAATCGTAAGTGTTGTTAATAAGTTTTTGCCGTAGTAATTAGTCGACGGCTCTGAAGCATACACATTATTGTTAAAAATATAAAACGTTTTACCAGACCTTACTCAATAATATCATTGAGATTATAACATAGGTATTTTCATATCATATGCAATTTATTATTATATGAAGTGCAGTATCATGGAGGTTCAAAGCGATGTCAATACCAGAAGGACTAAAACGAAAATAACTTAGATTAAACAATGGAGATTCTAGTAACCTTATAAGTCTAGCACATAGATGGAAATACTCGGATGGACCAGGTAAAGTCTCGCTTACCCGGTGCTCAAAGCGTTCCATTCTTTAATAAGTCACATTGAAAGTAGATTTATTATTATTATTATTATTATATTTCGAAATGCCTTAAAATGGTTTCTCATAAAATTTGCATACAGCTCATTTTGGTCACATTTGCTAATGATAATGATTTATCAATTAGAATAGTTTCTTTCATTCCGCTGTCTTAGTACGTTTCTTTGGTTCTGTGCAGTTGATAGTTCCACTTTGATGGTCTCTTTAAGACATTACATTTAAAATATTAGTAAGTTTGTTTTATTTATTATAATTTATAATCATTATTATTTATTGATCCTTCTTATGTACCTTGATATTATTTTTGTCTATTTCCTATCTGATATCTCTCGTATACGCTTAACTTCCTTCTTCTCTCTGTCAATTGAATATTTTTACACCAACTATACGGCTAGTTTGTTTGTTCTCATCTTTAATTGGACGTTGAAATTAACTGTTATGTCTATATATATTACTGTCTATTTTCTGTATGTTTGTCTGTGTTATGTTTATGTCGGTTATTCTATA